AAAAAAAAACGAAGAATATATTCTTTATAAGTATATACTTATAATGTTTTCTTAAAAAATTAAATAAAAAAATACTTATTGCCAATGAGAGTTTAAAAGCAACACTATTTGGTTTGTGATAAAAACATTTTTATTGCAGGTCTGCAGACTAAATTTTCAAAGTTGTGACATGTTTCTACTAACATAATCATGCAGGTTTAATACAGTTAGATTATTTCAAGTATCCTACTATATTGTTCATTTGAAGAACAATTTTGATTATCAATATATAGCTATTTATTTCATAAATATTACATTCATATAATTATTTATAAGCGAAAATAGGTCTATGAATTATTGAATTTAGCAACTAGGACAAAAATTGACTATTAGACTAATATAATTGTTGTGAGAGGTATTAAACCACCTCACTCTTTTATAATCTGGTCATAGCTGCTGTAAATTGTAATATCTGATTTAGGTGAATTAATTTCTCTATAAAACTCCTTTTATGAAAACAAATAGTTTAAATGATTTCGCTTATTATAGAAACAAATTCTATGGATTTATGTACCGCAATTCATCCGCTAGATAACAAATTATTTGTTTTTATTCTATACAAAAATATTCGTGTATAACAGCATATTTAGTTATTTCAAGTAATTTGTATTTGAAAAAATAATATATAACCCGATTATACAAGTGTATTATCAGTAAAAATTCTGATATCACGGTAATGTTACGTGGTGAAAATGCGAATTTGAACGACTCGTTCAGGAAAACCATACTAAGGAGTAATTGATAAGAACCGTGACCGATCGTAAGAAATGAACGAAAGAACGAGTTATATGAACGGGTCATTTGAACGATCCGGATCGTTCGATTGACCCGAAATACCCATCACTAGTACTAAGATACATTGTTTTTATTAATAAAGTACTTGAAACACTAACGACAGTTTTTTCAAGTATGATAATAATCATATTAATTAATTTATTTATGAAAAACAATACATATTTTTAATTATATAGAAAATAAAATAAAAAAATATACTTCCCAATGAGCATTTTAAATTAATTAATTGTTTTTTATTAAAAATTGTAATATAAGGAATTAATATAAAATTTCCTAAAAAATAAAGTCCAAACACATTTTGCTTTTTTGACCAATCACAATTTTCAATTTGCTTGAATTTAGAGTTGATAATTCTTGAAATCTAATATTTATTGTACTCATGTTAAATAGTACAAATCCTAATGTCCGTTTTAATCATTTAGAAAAAATATTTTTAAAATAAAGCCCATAAATATGATTGTTAATTGAAGTTCACATTATTTTTCAGTCTACAATTATTAATATGTTTATGTCAAATGGTTCACCTTCACAGTTCACACTAACATGGCTTAAACATTATATATATACAGGGTGTTCAGTAAGTCAGGAAACGGGTTTCTATTGTTCTCATTGTTTGTAACAATGAGAACAATAGAAACCCGTTTCCTGACTTACTGAACACCCTGTATATTAATCTAATATTAGAACCGTTGAATATCATAGTATCATACGCCAGTTGAATAAATTATACATCATACTGCCCGCCATCAATGCCTTGAGCCCATGGCCCTAACGAAAATAATGATTTCTACAGTGTTATTGCTAATTGCTATAAACATTAGCTGCTAATAACTAAAAATTAATTATAAGCATTATGCTACGAGCTGTTTTTAAGAAATAGCAATAGCATTAGCAGATGTTAAAAAAAAAAATAGCAGTTTACCATCGCTAATAACGGCTCAATTCATTTGCACAATTTATATGAAAATATAATCTGTATATTTAGCTGAATTGCCAAACCTGTCAATATCAACTTATTCGTTATCAGGGTAGCCAACTTTTTATCACAACCGAAATTTATCTATCCATATCAACGACAAAAAGCAAGTTTAGGATTATAATAGAATTGTTGATTAAATTTTGAGTCTTTCTTTATACTTACACACAAATCGAAAACCACTTTTATTCTATGTAATTGACTTCTTAAATTTAGAGTAATGGGATCCATAAAAATTAAATCTTTCAAATGGTCTTTAGATTTTACAAGGTAACAATGGAACTTAAAATATGTATTAATTTATAATATGTACATATTATAAATATGTAATATATATAGTATATAATAATAATCATAGTTAAATAAAAACAACTAATACTTCTTATTTCTGTAATTTTCCTCTTCAGTTTTAAATTTCATAATGATTTTTTGAATTTTATCTATCTTATCATTTATATTCCACAAAATGGGATTTTTTTTCAAATTATACGGTGTATAGTAAATTGCCATTATATAAAAATTAAAACTCAGACTAATATTTATCATAAATATCAACAATATTAAATAAGAATCATAACAAAGACTATATAAGTCAACTGTGCAGTTTCAATATGTAAATATTTAATATTTTTAATTTTATGACTTGTATTGTTTCTAAAACTACAGATTTAATTTTTAATATTTAATTATATTAAATTAGGAGTAAACATGAAAAAGTTCCTGATAATGTTAATCCACCAGGCTATAGTCAATCTGTTGGATTAAATGGTACTGAATTATCTAAGGATAGCGAGTCAAATAGACTTATAATGAAAAAGTCATGGGATCTTGCCTTAGGTCCACTCAAACAAGTATAGGAAAACTTTTTTTATATTGTTTGTTTTTATGATATTTATATTTATTTGTTTTTTCAAATTTATTAATTTTATCATCATTTTTTAAAATTTATTGAAATTTTATTAATAAATATTTATTAAATAAATATGTAATTATTTTAGTATGTGTAAAGCTATCATGGATTGCTGCATTGTTTAAAATTGACTCTTACATAAAATAATAACTTTTTTTAGGTACCAATGAACCTATTTATCATGTACATGGCAGGAAACTCTATATCAATATTTCCAATTATGATGGTTGGAATGTTAATTGTACGACCTTTCAAAGCATTATTTACTTTACAAGCTAGTAAGTATATATTTAGTAGCTTTAGTCTAAAAGATCTGATGTTAGTTTTAATGAGAAGCTGAAAAGCTATTAATTTTACCTTGATGTGTTTATTTTTTTTTTTGTGTTTGTCACTACTTTTTCCCAGTTCTCACTGGAATGATTTTTCTCAATGATGCGTCAAAAGATCACAAATTATATCTAGTTGAAGACATTACCCTTAAAAATTTCCCTCGTTCCCCGTAAATGGGGGAAATCTCCAAAAAAATTACGATTTTCAAAATCAGTAATTTTTTACTTGTATTTTCTTAAAATAATCATAACTTTTTCAAAAATTAACAAATCAAAATAATTTTCTTTTATATTAAAACCTTAGATATTTCCATTTCATTTGATATCATTTTTTTGAAAATCTGACCCTTTACTAGCCCACATGAGGGATTCAAAATAGCAACTTTTGAAAATGTTCCTGGAATACTGAGTCCTTTAGACCTATGTCAAATTAAAGCTTATGTTACATATTTTAATTAAAAAAAAAAAAAAATTTGTCCTTACAACTTATCTTCTACATTCAAACTGCTGCTGTAATTTAAAAAATGCTATTTTTGTGTTAAAATTTTCAACTTTAAATTGCTTTAAATTTTTGAAAAATGTTTAGTTCAACACAAATTTTTGTTTCTAAATACATTATATATACCCCTTATATCTTACATACTTTTATTTTAAATCAGGTAAATTCCTCTTATACAGAGGGCATTTAAAACTTGTAACATACGTATAAAAAGTAAAACTTTTTCAACTTAACTTTTGAAAATGTCCCAGAAATTCTTTAAACATTTGTTAGATTAAAGCTTACATTATGTACTATAAGTTTAAAAAAAAATTTCCTGACGACTGATCTTTCATGTGCAAATAGCAGTCGAAATAGAACAAAAAATATGAGTTAATTTTGCTTTTAGGATAATCCATCAAATTATTAAAATTAAACACTATTCACAGATTTGCATCAATGCTTTTCTTATGATAGTGATTATAATCAATGGCAGATATCATCTAACTTGTCCCACTATACCACGATCCCACTGTGCTACGTTTTTTTAATTTAGTATTTAGTTCAAATTCTATACCTTGTTTCTTTATAGATTCAAATATTTTAGCTAGATGCCTAAATATTATCTTATAATTAAATATTATATTATTATATAGCGTTTGTTATTAATATGATTTATTATAATGCACTATAAAAATACACAATTAAAATATATTATATGATTGATACCATAGAGAACGTAACATAACCTTTTTTCTCTTATCAGGGAGGAGCAGTAAGTGATATGTGGTATCACAGTACAATTATATAAGTATAATATTCTATATTAGACGTAATTTTTAAACAAAGGAGATGTGGCAGAGGGAAGCCATAAAGAACCAAAGCCCCTACTGAAATTTGTACTTTTATTTGGTGAATCTAAATCCTTATTTCAAAATAAACAATTGTTTTTAATATATATAATATATATATATATTTTAATCCAACCTAATAAAATATTGTATGTTCTTAATTTATACATAAATTTCATATCTTATTTTGTGATTCTAAAAAAAATATTTAATTTTTTTTTTTTAGCATTCAAAACAGTTGAAGGAACTCAAGCATGGGGTCAAAAATTCATTTTTTTCATTGGTAATTTAGTTAACATTATATTAGCACTGTACAAATGTCAGTCAATGGGACTATTACCAACCCATGCATCAGATTGGTTAGCATTTATAAATCCTCCAACACGTATGGAATATTCGGGTGGTGGTTTTATCTTTAATTAATTAAATTTGTCTTATATTATTATTAAAATTTATAATTGTTATAATTTGATTGTCTTTATTGGAAATAACTGGTTGTAATTGTAAAAATAATTTTCATTTATATTACTACACATGTAAAATAATTTTTTTTTAATGATTTAGTCGTTTATCATTTATATGTATGATACAAATTACTCATACACTATTGACTGTATGAGTCAATAGTGTATGTACATACCATTATTTATTTATTGTTTTATTTAAATAGTATTATTTATTTTATGTCAATATAAATAGATGAAGTCTTGCAACCAAAATATTTAGCCTTTGATAAAAGATTCTTTGAAATTTAAAACACATTATTAAAATTAAGGAGCATATCATATTTTCATAAAAATTGCTTATACAGGGTGATTTTTTTATCATAACCCATTCAATTACTTACAGAGTAATTATAATTTAAACATTTTTTTTTTTTTTGGTATTCTTTAGTTACACATTATTGTTGAATTATTAACTATGTTAATTGGATGAACTTAAAAAGTATTACATAGTTAATAATTCAAGAATAATGTGTAACTAAAGAATACCAAAAAAATAAAATGTTTAAATTATTTTTATTCTGCAAGTAATTGAGTGGGTTATAATAAAAAAATCACTGTGTATATATTACTACATAAAATTTTTTATTATATTACTTATGTTAGGCATAATGTAATAAATTTAGTATATCAACTAGTTTATTTGTTAATTCAAATACATAGAGATTGAAGAATAAATAAACAAAATAATTATCCATGCCCTAAATTTGTTTAAGTTTATTAAAAAATCTTGCAATGTTCCGGTAATACTGTGTCTTAAATGTTAAATTAAAGCTTATTATTTTTGTGTTAAAATTTTTGATTTAAAATTTTCAACTTTAAATTGCTTTAAATTTTTGTTTCTAAATACATTATATATACCCCTTATATCTTACATACTTTTATTTTAAATCAGGCAAATTCCTCTTATACAGAGGGCATTTAAAACTTGTAACATACGTATAAAAAGTAAAACTTTTTCAACTTAACTTTTGAAAATGTCCCGGAAATTCTTTAAACATTTGTTAGATTAAAGCTAAAATTATGTAATATAAGTTAAAAAAAAATTTATCTTAATGACCTATCTTCTATGTGCAATAGACCGACAAAAAATGTAATATGTATTAAAAATTAACTTATATCGTGATGTTATTTTGTACTTAGAACCTCTATAACTTTTTGAAAAAATAACGGAACAAAATAATTTTTTTTTACGCCTTAGGTATTACCCTTTTATTTGATTTAATTTTTTTCAAAATTTAACCCTTTAATTGCTCACAAAGGGCGATTCAAAATAACAACATTTAAAAAAAAAATCAATTTTTTCAATTTAACTTTTGAAATTATCATTTCCTTTTCTTATTCATATCCTGATTACAAGTTTTAGCTTCGATGCGAAGCGGAGATTAATTTTACTATGATGTGTTTTTTTTTTTTTTTTTTTTTTTTTTTTTTTTTTT